GGCCGCTCCCCTGTGTGGCAGATGACGGGCCTGGACGTGGAGAAGGACCAGATCCTGGAGATGGCCTGTCTCATCACCGACTGCGACCTCAACGTCCTGGCCGAGGTGAGCAGGAGCCGGGCCGGGCCCCCCCCGTCCCTCCCCGCTGCTCCCGGGGGGAATTTGCTGCTTCCCGGGGAAGCTGGAAGAAATAACTGCTGGGTGGTGGCTGTCGCTGCTTTGGGGTAGCCCCTGCGCTGGCACCCACTGCTCCGTAACGGGCCCAGAGGGGAGCAGGGGACACGTCACCTCGCACGTCCCCGTGGTACCCTCCAGGTCCGAGGCTGGACCCTCCGAACACCCAGTTCTCCGAGCCCTGAAGTCACAGCCCTGCCCTGCACGGAGCGTCCTGGCTCAAGGCTGGGACCCTGGGCACGGCTGCTCAACACTGAACTTTTTTTTCATTACCTTTGTGTTTCGTCTCTTCCCTCAGGGCCCGAATCTGATTATTAACCAGCCTGACGAGCTGCTGGAGGGCATGTCCGAGTGGTGCAAGGAGCACCACGGGAAGGTAACCCTGCTGGAGCAGTCGTGCTAAAATGTCTCTGCAATCAGGAGAAGAACGTATAATTCTGAATTATTAGTTGCAGTACAGTCACCTAAAAAGGGACAACTCCTGTGCTGGGCAGTTTTCAGTCAAACAGAGGAGATGAAAAGTGAGAGACAGTATTACCCTTACTTTGTAGAAAGGAGCTGATGCATAATGTTTTGGCCAGGGTCTCACAAGTCGTAGTGGCACAGCAGGGAATTGCACTCGTGTCTCCTTAGTCTTCACTCTGTCTCTCAGCAGCAGGATTGCCTTGATGTGGCCTGGCCTTTGTAGCCTGGATTTTCACAAGTGGGCTCCCTGTGAACACTGTTCCCTGTTGCATAAAATAGGAATAATCCCCAAGTCCCAGCTGAGGGCAGGCACAAGATCAGTGTAGAATAGGCCAAACCTGAGAAAAATGCACATTTATCACTGCAAATTTAGGTACTTGTAGGATTAAACAAGCCAATTAACTGTTAACATTGGATTGTTACTTTTGCCTGTCCTCCCAGCACTGTAAGCCCAGTGTGTTTTTTCACCTTACCTTTTGCAGCAGGGGATTATTTTTAGTCCTATCAAAGTTTCCTCTGTGCCAGCAGCAAGAAAGCAAATGGATTTTCCAGTCCCTGATTATGAATTGAAATTCAAGTTAGTTTTCAATTAAGGGCTGAAGTTTTAAGACACCCGTTACCCCTCCCCTTCCTTCTCCCCTCGGCATCTCACTCTCCCTGGGAAGGATTAGCAGGAGTTTGGAAAATGAATACTAATTTACCATGATGGGTGCTTTTCCCTTCTCCAGTCGAGGACTCAAACTCAGCGTCAGTTCAGGAGGAAACTGAAGATGGTGGCACATGTTAGCACTGCTCCTGAGGAGCTACTTGGTTTTAATTGACTAAGAAAAGAGAATCAATTAGAATATAGATGAAAATGCAGCCACATAATGAATTTTTTAACCACCACTTGGATCTGTCAAGTAGACTTTTGCAGCACAGTCATGGAAATATATAGTGTATCCAGATGGAAATAAATCACTGAGCACACTTGCAGCAGATTTGACATTTAACTATTGGAAAAAAAAAAAAAAAAAAGAAAGAAGGAACTTTTCTGATTTATTGGAATCTTGATAAACACTTCAGCCAGGATCCTGATTATTTCTGTTCATTTATCCCTGCTGTGCTGTGCTGTGGAGGCAGATGCCTCTCATCAGGCAGAGGGAAATACAAGCTCTCCCTGGTCACATCTGTACAAGTGTCTGAAGCAGGTGTGCACCAAAGAATTGGGAAGAGCACCCAGAAAGTGCAGCATCCAGGGAAAAACGAAAATCCCAGGAGTGTCAGCGTTGCTGGTGCTGTCCTGTGGTCACATTTACTTCTGTACGCTGGGGAACCAGTGGTACTTCTGGGGTTGAGCATTTGCTGTGGAGCTTTTCTGAAGCCTCTTTCATGGCAATGAGTTCCCATTTGTGACGGGATGTCTCTCTCTTTTGCAGTCTGGCCTTACCAAGGCTGTGAAGGAGAGTAAAATTTCACTGCAGCAGGCAGAGTACGAGTTCCTGTCCTTTGTACGACAACAGACACCCCCGGGCCTCTGTCCCCTTGCAGGTAACAATAATAACAAGTGTCTTCCCCTCTGCAGGTCCTGGCTGGGTGCCCAAAGGCAGCTGAGCCCCCGTGGTGGGGATGCTTCAGTTTGTCATGCTGAGATCTAACACACGAATCAAAACCTGTTTAGCCCAGAGAGGCTCAGGAATGGCACCATCCGTTCTGCAGATTCCCTGCAGGAAATGGGGCACGTCACTGCTGCAGGAAACTGCAGCTCTGGTTTGGAGTCACATTTCTGTGCATGGTTATAACTGAAGGAGGGGGGGTGGGTGGTTGCAAACCCAGCAAGGACTTTTCCTCATTGCATGTATCAAACCAGATGCCAAATCCGAATCTGTTACCTGGAGGGACACTCAGGACAGTTGCAGTGACATCAACCCTGAAGCCTGTTTTCTGTTGGCAGAAAACTGGTGCTGGCATCATACTTTGATACTTACCTTTGATACTTACCTTACAAATTGCAGAAGTAGCACCTGGAAAATTAATTGAGGGATTACATGTTTATACCACCTGTGATCCTGAAGTGAAAAATCTGACAAAGCTTTACATATTTCCTAGAAAATGAGATAAATGAGCTGCTTGCAAGGAGCCTTCCATCCCCTGTGATCTTTCCCCAGCCTGCTCCTCGTTTCCGTGTCGCTCGGCGCAGCTCTGTGGCATCTTTGAAGAAACATCTTGTTTTGTGTCTCTGTAGGTAACTCTGTTCACGCAGATAAGAAATTTCTCGACAAGTATATGCCTCAGTTCATGAGGCATCTTCATTACAGGATCATTGACGTGAGCACTGTCAAAGAGCTCTGCAGGTAAGTGTTCCTCAAATTAAGTAGTCGCATGAAAGATGATCTGGGGAAACGCTTACGTGCGCTCTTCCAAAAAAAGCATAGTGAAAGGCTGCTGGGAGCCCCTGGTGCTTTCACCCCTTCTCTTTGGGCCATGCACAGAAAGAGTTGTGGTGTGCTCTGGAGTCTGCAGCACAGTGACTCGGGAGGTTCTGGCTTCTCTGGCTGCCCACGACACCAAAATTCTTTCACTATTTGTAACAAACCCACAGCAGCCACCAGACACCTGCGGAAATTAATTTCCCTTTTTAAGTGGCAGTTTTTTTCCACTTGCAGGCGCTGGTATCCGGAAGAATACGAGTTTGCACCAAAGAAGGCAGCTTCTCACAGGTGAGGGTCCTGCTGCTGTCTTTGCCAGAGTAGGGTCTGTCATGCAGGAGTTCTCCCTGAGCAGACTGTGGGGCTTCCTTGGAATTCCTGCTCACCACTTCCAGTGCTGGTGGGGGCTGTGTGCTCCTGCTCCCTGTCATATGCTTGCATTCTCCTGTCTGACACCTGGTTAGTGTAGG